ATATATTAGCCTGCACACTTGCAGAAAGTTTGACGCATGCCCGGGCAGCAAAGAGTCATGGGACATTTCATAAATTAATAAAATGTAGTATTCGCGATCGCTGCATGTGTGCTTAAATCTAAATTTCTTTTTGTAGTTACCTGTAAATATTTCATGTTTAATGTTGAAAAATTCAAAGAAAAAGTCAGCCCCATGTGGGCAAACAGAATCTGCACTACAGTCCCTTATATAGTCTTTTAGCCAAATTATAGAACAATTTAAGTGGAAACTTCATGTTTCTACATAGGACAACAAGATATAACCTAATAAAAGGCTAACTCAAATCAATGGCTTGGTGGGTGAATTTTGGTCTGTAAGCTCTACTTGAGGCACCTCTGAGATAGATTCAGTTTCTTTATTGTTCATTGTTGCTSTGCTGCATCTTCATATTTGCTCTGCTTTATTTTCTTCATTACTTTATTCTCCTGCATGCCCTGCTGCTTTGTGCTAAACACTCACTGTTTTTGACAGCACGCTCACAAACAAACCGACTTGACTTTGAACACAAACGGTGAAAATATTGACAACAATACCTGCAGCCGAAGCCACCAGTGAGCCGAGCCTTTCTGCTGCGGTGAATGACAGAGAATGTGCCCGCTCATCCGGATGAGCTCACTCCACCGGTTCACCAAGTTTTTCAGAGTGTTTTTTATGTCGGGGTGACTGAGTGGACCTTCTGAATCTTAACTTGTTYTTTTTTWKTTTTTTTATTTGCAGCTAGAAAGGACAAGGAGTGATTTAAATGCTATAAAATCAGTTCTGTTCATGTTGTTGCAGTTCTGTAGTGAACCCACCAGTATGTTGAAAATAATAAAAATAAAAAAGCTTGTTATTGAGATCAAAACCACATGTTTTTGAGCCTTTAATATGAATAACATTAAAATTATTATAACAAACATTTACAGCAAATTTATTCTCTGGCTGAATGAAAACAGAAAACCTTCAAATCTAGTTTTTTTTTGTAATAAAGAAACAAACTCATTGAACCTCTATTCTAACAAATGTCCTACTTTTATGTTCGTTTTTTTTGTTCATTTATTTATTTTGTTTGTAAAGTTGTTGATTTATTAGAACTGCATGTTGGGGTCTGAAGCAGCACTTTCCCAAAGTCGACCCAAAAATCTTCTTACCAAAAATATGTTGAGAGAAGTTTTAGATCTGATCTAAACTGAAT